ATTATTATTAGTTGGGTTAACTTCAGGAGCAGGACTAGTGGGTGTATCGTCATCCGATTGCGTTTCATCAAAATCTATTTCTTCATCATCATCTTCATCAATAGTTGGATTACCATAAAGAGCATTCATATATTCATGGTTTAATTGTTCACCGGGTGCAATATTATGGCAAAATTGACTCTCGGTAAATTGTAATAAACTATTATCGCTATCAAGAATAGGAGGTGTAGGACGGGTAACAGGTTTGGGTCGGGGAGCCGGGGGAAGTGGAGGAGGAACAGATTGACTACTAGATTCACCACTCTTGGATTTTCCCTTATTTTTACTAAACATTTTGTTAAGGAATAAGCCATCCTAATTAATCAAACAAAGTAAATAAAACAAACAAAACTATAATATTAAAACTTAAGAGTTGGAATGAGTGTACCGAATCGACGAATAACTTGTTGAAAATTAATTATCGTTGAAGATTTGAAGACTTCAATTCACCAACTTCACAATTTTGCACAAAATGTAACAATTAAGTAAGCAATTATAGAATAATATTAGAGTGAGATTGAGAGATATTGATGATTTTGTGAGAAAAATGAAAGAATGAGGGGGTATTTATAGTTTAAAATAGGGAAAAAATGTAATTATAAAAAGTTTGGGGTTAAAACAAAGTTTGGGGGATTAAATGGCTATTTTGCAAATAGCCAACGGCTATTTTGGCAGACCAAACGGCTAGTTTTTAAATGGCCAAGCGGTCAATTTTTTTTTAATTAAAATTATCCATTGGGCCCGGATAGGCCCGTTTAGGACCGCTTGAACCGGCCCACTACCCAGCCCACCTCCCCACGGCCCCGGTCCTATCCGGTTAGGACCGTTTAGGCCCACCGTCCATATGGACTTGCAGTCCTGGGCCGGTCCCGGTCCTAACCGGCCCACATGCCAACCTTACATGAGCCTGAGGCTGCTACTAAAAGGAGCCAAAATCTGGTGTACACATACAAAACAAGTGATCAATTAGTGGGTGGTTAAATCATGTAACACTCACCAAAGGGTAGAAAAATAAACATTATAAATTGTCTTGGAACCCCTTCTTAATTTACATACCTAATTAGAGGTAAGCAAAAACTAGCTATCACTCGAGGAGTTTGTACCTCAATTTCCAAAAACCAAATGGAGGGGAAAGTGATTCTAGCATTTCTAGTTCTTTTTATAACAGGATCGTCTATAGCTGAGAATTTTTCCGAATGAACAAGTAATTGCCTCAACGAGATGAAAACTACTGATTGTATTTTGAACCCTCCAATGTGTCTTTCCACTTGTGCTGCAAAATGCACTTCATTTGCACTTTCTTCTTCCCCAAAAAATGATCATGCTTGTAATGTTGGGTGTGCTTTACACCAATGCAGGAACTTTATGACCATTACTATTGAAAAAAAGTAGTTCATAACTATACAAATTGCTATTCACTACGTTTTACAGCAGATAAAGAGAGCCTTGGAAAATGTATGACTAGTTGCAGTGAGGCGCATTGCGCAACTACGGCACCAGCTGTGGAACTATAGGCTGAACACTGTATTGGTGTGATTTTATGTTATTTTCTTCTTCTAGGGGATCTTATGTTATTTTCTTCTTCTAGGGGATCTTATGTTATTTCAGTTCATTAATTTCTAGCAATGTTACTTCAACTTTGTAGTTGTGTTGTTATTGTTCTAATTGCAAACGGAACGACGTGAGCGGCACTTCGATTAGCCTACTGACACTCGTCAAGCGAATATTTAACCTCGTCAAACATATAAAACATAGGATGTACTTCCTCCGTTCACTTTTATTTGTTTATTATACTAAAAATATATATATTCTCACTTTTACTTACCCACTATCTTGTAGGAAATTATTGGATTTTTTTTTGTTGTTGTTGTACTTATCCGCTATACTAAATCAAGAGAAAAATAATTTTTTTTTCCTGTTTTACCATTATCATTAACTACTCATTCCTCAAATTATTTCCTTTGAAAATATTTATCATTATTATAGGTAAAATTGTAAAATACATATTTCATTTATTATTTCGTAAGAGACGTAAAAAGTCCAAAAAAAATGAATAATTAAAAGTGAACGGATGGAGCATAATAGACCGTCGGGCAATTCTGCATATATAAGAGATGTTGGTGTTTGATACCTTTGAATTATTTACCTTAACATACTATCACCTGTCAAAGCATCCGTCCATACAACAATTTCACTACCTCCACAACATTGTAAAAAGAAATTCAAAAAAATGAAGCTAGGCACCATAATATAATTAGATTATCAAATTACTTAAATTTACATTATCATATTTTTTTAAATTAAGTAATTAGGTGAAAAATGGATTATCTTTATTACTTTTTATCTTTATCAAATTACGAAAATTCTAAACTTTTAGTTGGTAAACTGAAAAACGAAATATGCAACATGTTCTAATATCTTTACCCTGTTAAATCCTAATGAATTTACTCGTGTAAGTTTTTACCTTTTACTAAGTATTACTCCATAGCGTATATTTTTTGTTTACTTTTCCGTACAAGTTTCCTCGAAAGTTCCTCAGCTTAATCCACAGACTCCACAGATCAGAAGAGAATAATCCCATTTCCCAAATAGCATCATTCCCTCATCAAAATCTTCTCCTACTTTTATCTTCTGTTCAACCAAACCTGTTTCCTTCAACAAATCCTATCTTCTTTCTCAAACCCTCAATCCATAATCAAGTATCTCGACAATTTCGGCGAAAATGGCAAAAGCAGATGAAATTCAAACCATTTCCTTATCATTCACTGATTTCCCAGAAGATGTGCAGCTCTGTATCCTCTCATTCCTCACCCCTTTAGATATCTCCAATTTCGCCTGCACTTCAAAGCGCTTCGTCTCTCTTTGCCGTGATGACCCAAGACTCTGGTTTTCCATGTGTCACCGCAAATGGGGATCCAAAACCCATATCAACAAATGGGTTAATAACGGTAGAATTCCTTACAAGCTTCTTTACAATACCCTTTTAGAGTATGAGAATCTCATTGGCTTCTGGCGCCTCAGTGGTACTGATTCTGATACTGATTCCTCTTTAATCTTTTTTGAGTGGGGTTCATTTTATATAGCTGGTTCAAGGGTTAAACCCGCAAGAAATTGTACTTATGGAGTGATAAAGTTGCCATTTTTATGGATGGGTTTTAACTCTAAGGGTGAAATTGTCAATTATCTCGATCCTGAAGGGAGAGTTGAGTTGTTATCTGAAAATGTGATGAATTTTGATGATTTGGGTTTTGGGGAGAGTGAATTGATTCAGGTGAATGTGAATTTCATGGGAAAAACTCATGTTGTTGTGGAAGAAAATTGTGGCAGTGCACTTGGGTATTCTTGTAATTCTCCACAGAACAGAGGAGGATTCAGGAAAGTTTCAAGCTCAGGGAACATGAGGGGAGAGGAGTATGAGGATTTATGTGGGTCCCCTGGAAGCTTGCCAGATAGGTTGATGTCCGAGATTTATCAGTATTTCGCCAACAAGACGAGTCCCGGTGGGAACGGGTCATCGAGGAGGCAGAGAAGGAAGGAGAAGGAAAGGCAGGGGAAAAGGAAGTGGGAGCCTGAACATTATGTGAAAATCGTGAATTGCTCGCCTACACCAGCCAGGCCTTTACAGGGCTTGTGGAAGGTCTTGTTCTGCTTCTTTCTGTTTATATATTATGGCAAAACTTGATCTTTATCAGCAGTTCTTTTTTTTTTCCCCCATTAAGATTTGGCCTTTGGTTTGTTGTTAATGACTTGCATAAGTATAAGTAAAGCATCAAACTTTATAGAGATAACTAGCTAGCAGGTTAAGGTGCAACCAAAGGCTGACTTTGTAACAACAACAACAACAACAACAACAACAACATACCCAGTATAATCCCACGGTNTCATCTTGATTTCGGCCTTTATTTTCTTCCTTTGAAAGGATTGACCTGACCGGCTTGAAACTTGATTTGATTATCTAAGGAAGCCGAGCCAATTGAAAACTATATTTTTTCAAACGAAGACTCTTCTTTTTAGGAAGACGATTCCCGGCCATTCTTCGAAGCTGATTTGAAAACAAAACATTCGTTCCGTGACGTGAGGCTCCAGCTTAAAACTTTGAAACTATACCAAATCATACTCGGCAACTGAAGCATGGAGGAGAAGAGCCGGAAAGGGCGAAACCTCTCTTTTCAAAAGAAAGCGACCCGCCAAAAAACATTGCAATAGAGAACTCTTTAGCGGAAATGGTTTCCTGGCCTATTGAAACTCTTTCAGCCGATTCGCGGCAACACATTACTTCAGATCAGATTTGTGCCAATTCCTCCATTCACAGAATGCCCTTATCAATCAAACTTCCTTAAAAGTTCCGCTTAATGGCAATGGGGGTGTGCGATTCATCAGGTGCAATCAGCAATGCCCCTACTCCGTACCCAGAACCACGTGAAAAAAGGTTTCATAAGCAAACATTATTGTGGAAATCAAGGGAGAGTGCCGTTAGAAATCTATAAAGGACTTTAAGGGAGAGCTGCTCTCTCTATCTCAACTGCTTTCCCTACTAGGGGCACAAGAGGCACTTTTTGTCTAAAGCCTACTTCCTGGGGTCTGGGAAGGTTAGTGAGTACGCAGACCTTACCCCTACCTGGAGAGGTAGAGAGGCTATTTCCGATAGACCCTCGGCTCAAGAAAAGATGGAAAGGAAGAATAGGGGAGAAGAAGAGGAGGGAAGAGGAGAGAAAGGCGATAAGCAAAGAGGAGAAAAAGTAGCATCAAATAGTAGCCATCAGGGCCAAAGGCTGACTGAGTAAGTACAAGTAAAAGTAAGTAAAGAGGAAAACTTTGTAGTATTGACTAGGTAGAGCCTTGATTTATCATAAGATATAATCGCTTGTGTTGGTTAACCGGGTAATATTCATGTACATATTCTAAGTGTCGAATTGATAATAAAGTACTTTTAATCTTCAGTGTAAGAGCAAGATGTATAGCACTAATACTAGAAGTGCATTGAGTATTAGCATTTGAAAGCCTAGCCGCAAACCGATAGGATAACTGTGCTTCAAACCCCCTAAGCTTTAATAAACATAGCTCTAGCTCTATACATTATGATGCCACTAACCATTAAGTACGTGAAGTAGGACTGATTTCTGACTCGTTTTACCAGAAACCTTATTGTGATTTCTGATAATGACCTGAAGGTATGGTGATTACTAGTGATATGTTTGTGTTTTTTCTGTTAACCAGTTTATTCCTTTCAGTAAGAAGCACCATTTGACCTTGTTACTAATGATGCCTTGTTACCATAAGAAATCCAAGTACCTCAGACCTAAACTTTTGAAACCCAAATGATTTGAGTAATAATTTCTCAAGCAATACGTATATCTGGACTTGTACATTCGAATTAAATGCTGGTTTTGCTTGAAGGTTTAAGTGTCCTACTGTCTCTACCGAGGAATTTTTCAACTGTAGGTCTTTCTGCTGTATCCCTTCTTGACCTTACCCTAAAGATATCTAACTGTTTATTGGGCATTAGTTTATTTATGGTGTATGCTATTACATCATCCCATCATCCTCATGGTTAACTTCCATTGAATTATGATGAACTGCATGAATCTCAGAGGATTTCGTTTGCCAGTTTGTCATACGGTGTACTTCCCTTTTGCTGAATGGTAACATCTGGGCATGCTTAACCTTAACTGCAAAAAGCCTGCTTATCTGATGTTTTGGTTTTACTTTTCACTGCAGGGATTCTGTGACGACATGACTTTGGAGTTCTTCCTTGTCTCTTATGATGATGTTGGTGGTATCACTTGCAGAAGGGTTGTGGAATTATGTAAACCTTTCTCTGCCTATGCCCCAGTATTTTGGACTTCAAATACCACATTCATTGAGTCCCCTTTATCTTCAGAAGAAGAAAACATATATGAGAGTCGCATACATATTCGGCCCCTTGCTGAAGCTGATGACCCATGTGAGATTCTGTCTAGTTCTGACAAAGGANTGCCTAGTTCTGATAAGGGAGTTGTTTTGCGCATGCTTTGCATGAACTCAAGCTACGACTTGGTTATTCCTGATTTGGCAGGAAGCACTGTAAATCCTAGGCAGGCGGAGGGAAGGATTTGGCAGTATGAAAATGGGACATTTGGATACGGGTTTCTGCGAGACAATTACATTATAGACTTGAGGCATATTGCTCAAAATGGTCAGATATTTGACACAGCAGATATTTCTAGTGATTGATCTTGCTGCATAAATTAGTCAGACAAACATGCAGAAGGAAATTTCTAATTTATATTCTTTGTACATATTAGTTGGTTCTTGATGCTGGTAAGATTCTGGCTTTGTTGTAACATTTCGTGACAATAAAATATTGATTTCAATGTAAACTAGGTATTTTCAAGCTTCCTTTTCTGTGAATGGATTTAACTCTTTTCCTACTCTTCATGCTTTCCCTTTTGAATTCTTTCAGTTTCATTTTCGCATGTCAAGGGTGTAAAGATGCTTAGCTGATTACTTCATCTATCATGTAGAAGCTTTGACATACTCATTCATCAGCATTTAAAGTTTTCATTGTGCGTGTGGCATTTTATATCTCTATTCCCTCTCCCACGGTGTTGATTGTAATTTGTGGTTAGCTACTGGCACCTTCTGTCCCATGACTCTCACCAAATATTCATAGATCTCCAAGGACTTTCGGAGTTGAATGGCTGGTGAGTTTTGTGAAATTTAAAACATCCTGCTGATTACTGTTGCTTTTAAATTTTGTATACTGAGGAGTTTCTGATTCTTCACAAAACTTGTGTTTATGTTTCTATATATATCTGAAGTTTCATTTTAGCCTCTTGTTCCAATTTTTTTGCCTTTTCTTTTACCAAATAATTTTGCTTTTCCTGTCTGTCAAGTGTCCAGAGTGCTAATGGTATAATGTATAGCTATCCATAAAGTTCTCAGGTAGGGGAAAGGATGAAAGTGGGGGTGACAGAATGATTCTACAAGCAGGGTGCAAAATACAACGTTAATGGATAAACTTGGTAAGGTTGTTGAAATTTTTTATTTTTTTATTGTTCAGTTTATTTTTCAGTTAATAACTGTTTGTTCTGTTTTACTAGCAGGTAGACCACTCTAGCCTTGAAAAACTGGCAATGGAGAAATGACAGTTTTAAAAGTCTATGCTTTTTATGTAGTCTCTTTTTGCCCTGATAATAGGAACTTAATACTAGATTTCCTCAAAAGGATCTCTATAAGAGCAATCGAATTGGAGAAGAATCACCTTCCAGCATTTGGATCCTGTGAGATACAAAGAATTCCATAATTTGAGGTCGAAGGAGTGTGTTGCAAAGATTTGCATGGCACTGGGACAGCAAAACCGTGCTATATTCAACATTCACACAATACAAGTGAAGCACAAGAAACAAAGGTCAAAAATCTACACACAGAAGTAGACAATATATAGTTCAGCATCAAATTAATGGAAGTAGATGAGAGAAAACATAGGCTGCGGTGAAGAAGGAAGTGCATTCATAGAAGCTTCTGAAGGCATTAGATCCTTGAATAAAGCAAGATAGGTAAGACATGATTGCGGAAAGCTGAGGAGGAATCAAGTCGGTCGCTGTTTATGACTCTGCAGTAACTTCTGTTGTTGTCGCGGAATTCGTCTCATGGTCACCCTCAAGCTTGCTTAAGTTGCCTTTCTCCTTGATAAGTTGAATATGGTGATGTTTACAGTAGAGGCGCCCCTCATGTGCGATATAGTTAGAAGGGCTAATTACACAGCCCCCATGGCTACATTTGAAGCAGCTCTTGTGGTATGGCGTACCATTAACTGATACCTATTCCCACAATCATTAATATGTGTTACACAACATTAGCATAAAAAACAGTGCTAGACTGTGAACTTTTGGTTTATGTAACAAAAAGATTGCTAATTGGTGATGTTACCTTTTCTGTTGGGTAGACAGTTTTCTTGCAGCCAAAACATTTCTCTCTTGTTCCACCAAACATGCTTGTCACTTTAGCTACCTGTGGTTTCTGTTCCAAAGATGGAAATTGCATTTAGTAAGTGAAGTATAATATTCTGTGTCAGATACTTGTGGTTTCTGTTTCAAACAATCAACTTGTCAATTACCTCACTGTCAATGGGTTTATGCGGTTTCACAATTTTTGGTGTACCTGTAATATTTTGAATAGTCAATAAAATTTCTGTTTTGCAAATGTTATTTGGAATTATCCATGTTATCCTCTACCTTCAAAGCTTTTATCCAAACTGCCAGTTTGTTTGAAGAGCTGATCAAAGTGTGGTCTACAGTATAGAACTCCCTCAAAAGAATTGTAGTTGCCAAGCTGCCAATGGAATATAGTTGAAGAACAGTAATTAGTAGTAGCTCATTAAGCTCTAATACTTTGAACAATAGCATCTCCAAAGTAGATATGACTCACATAAGTTGGTATTATTGAATTAAAAAACTCAAATATATCTACTACTTCATTTGACCCTGAACAAGTCACATAAGACCATTTTACAGAGAGTTGCATGGCTATATCATATTAATATTTGCATGAAATAATTGCTGAATTTCACCTTCCAAATTGAAGATGAACATTGGAGTTAGATCTTGCAAAACCTTTGTATGGAATAGGGAGGAAAAGAAGAAAAATACTTTAAGCTGAACAAAAAAGATCTTACATAAAATCCATAAGTAAGATTTACATGAGAAAACTGTAGTCCTTTTTTGTTCCAAGCTTGGAAAAGATTTTAATGGAAAGGAAAAAATATTAGGAATTCTACCTTGAGAGTGCCCTTGCAGTGATGGCATCTGAAACAAGCTTTGTGATAAATTCTGTTATCTGCAGTTAATTTGTCAACCAGATAAACAGTTTTGTCACATGCCATGCACTTCTGTGTGGTTCCTGCAAATGCCATGGCTATATATGAGCAAGCTTTACAGAAAACAAAAATAGTCTTTGTAGCTCTTTCTTGATTTTCTGCAGCAAGAGGGTACACTAGGTTTTTGGTTTTTGGTTTTTGGAGAAAGACACTAGAGAGAATGGTGTTAAGATAAGGATGAGAAGCCAGAGAAAATATGATGATGAGGCTGAGAACAGCAATTTAACTAATTAGAGAAATAGACATTTTATCATTTGGCCCCCCAGTATACAGCACCTAACACCTCTGCAGACTTTTTCCTTTTCTTTTTCTCCATTATTTTTCTCATTTTTTAGAGCTTCTTATCTGTAATTATATTCTTTTTTGAATATACAAGAAGGAAGAAAGTTGAGGCTAAAAGAAAATAAGAATTAACCTAAATAGTTGTCTATCTAATCTCTTAAACTAAAAATAACCGGTGAATATATAACATATATATAATTTAATCAATGTATAATATCTATATATACCGGCTAGAAAAAATAAGCATTGAATCTGGCCGACCAAATTCACTATTTACCTTTTCTATCCGGTATACATAAATTATATATTAACTATATGTTACACAAATAGCCGGCTAGATTCACTATTTATTTTTTCTAGCCGGTATACATAGATTATATATCGATTATACACATACTATACATGAATTATACATATATTATATATCCGCCGGCTATTTTTTAATTTAAAAAATTAGATGGGCGACTATTTGTGTTAATTTCCTATGATTTAGAAATATATTTATCTTAGGAAAAACCTTCATTGATAAAAGCAAATAATTGGTTATGAAAAAAAATCAGTAAAAATAAATGAATGAAAGAAGTGATTGTTCCTTGCATAGACATCAAAGTTCACATGGTTGTTGGAGCCCAGTTTGGTAGAATGTGAGCTTTTTTAGTTGCCATATGAATCCTCATAATACACTCTCATGAATTATCAATCTGCTGTCATTGCAATTATGCACTGTTATATTACCAAGTCTTCTCATTTTATTTTATTTTTTGAATTATTTGGTGGACCATATTCTTATCAACAACCTAAAAGAAAGTTATGTTGGACCATTTTATATACACAGTTGTGCTAGACATGATTTTGCAAATTCAATTTCCAATATCAGGGAGGCACATGGCATAATCATATTATTGATCTGTCAATGCCAGCACTCTTTTCTTTTTCAGAAGGAGAGTAGAGAGGAAGTAATAGCTGTAAAGATTTGAGATATGGGAGTTTGATATTTCACCTGTTATTCGTCATAGTTTTTGAGATAAGAATATTCTCTTTCTTATTTAACCATTAAATATTTGATGTTCATTTGTCCGACTAATTTGTATCATACCAAGTATGCATGCTACAGGAGTAAGAGTTCTCTATCAAGAAGTTCTTTGTTCCTAGGATTCGCCCTAGACCTCTGATTATCAGTAGAGAATCTCAATCATCACATCCCTTAACAGTAGAATATAGATCTTATCCGTTATAAAACAATTGTCCAACTTTGTGTTATTTATTCAGTTAGTGAAGTGTTAGTTAATTTGGAGAAAATTTAAGAAAGAGATAAACGGTAGTATATTTAAACAAATATTTTAAGAGGGATATAAGCGCTATAAGTGTGCAAAAATTATAAAAGACAAATAACGTTGACAGAAGATAATATCATACTAGTATATGTGAATGTAATCACCGAAACATATAACAATGACATTTGTCGTGTGGCCATTAGGGTTATCCATCGGTGAAACATTGTTCTCTTTTTTTTTTTAAGGAAAAGATATTTATTCTATTAAACCAAAACTTATGATCATGGGATCATTGATGGATGGTAATCCATGCATGGCATGATGATTAATTAGAGTAGCAAGAATTCTACAACAGTTAAAGGAAATTGTTTTAACAACACCCTCACCACCTTTGTCTGCCACCATCATAACCAGAACAAAAGGCGGTGAAACAACCAAAATTCTAATTTATTTAATACTAAGTTGGTTGTTGCATGCTTTGCTAGGGTATGGACTACTTCATTCCCTTGCCTGAGATGTGATGCATTTTCATCGTGCCCAATTGTACCAAAAGCAACCTGCATGAATTAATAATAGATTCGTAAGTTTTGCAACCTTCGTTGATAAAGGGAATTATCTGTGTAGCATTAGTCTTAATTTCCAAAGGAAATAGCTTCCTGTTGTTTGCTATACAGAGCCCTTGTTAGAGCGTCATTAGCTCTGCATGGATTGGATTCTTAGTGAAGATTTTTGAAGCGAACTCTATTAACCAGTCACCATGCCGATTCCTTATTACCCCTCCTATGCCTCCAGTACCATTTTCCCTTTTAAAAGCACTATCTATATTAAGCTTATACCAACCTGAATGAGGTTTAATCCAATTGATTGTTAGGTTGATTTTCCTATCCCAATTGGATTCTCTATCCGTTAGAAGAATATATTCGATGGATTGGTTAATGATCTTAGTAAGGGATAGTAGTGTTGTTTATATTGTTATTATTCCTTGTACCAGATATTCCAAATTACAAAGGGGAACAAAGTATACCAAGTTAGATTTTTGCTTGGAATTTGCGGATCTTCCAACGTAAGAGATTGGAGCCAGTTGTGGCACTTTGGTTGGAACTTACTAATATTAATGCATAGTTTATGCCATAGAGTATGGACTTGAGGGCAGGTGAGGAAGATGTGCATAAGAGATTCAGTTTCTTTACAACAAATTGTACACTTTTCATCTATGTTCAAGCCTATTTGGGATAGATATTGTCTGCACGGTAGTCTATTGAGGTTACAAAGCCATAAGAAATACTTAATTTTGTTTGGGCAATGCAAATTCCATACCCATTTTGCAGTTTATCTTAAGATGACTACTACCTTCAACTAGTACATAGCAAGAGTTAGTCATGAAAATCCCATTAGCATTGATGTCCCAAGATATGGAATCCTTATTGTTATCACTAGGGATGAATGTTAAAAGAATATTTGCAGTTATTTCCTCGGGGATTATAAAGATAATTTTTTCCAAGTTCCACCTATTTTCGGATCTAACATTGCATATCCTAAAGGAGTCTTCCTCTTTGGTTAGGGAACCAATGACATAGCTTCTAAGGGTGTTTGAGTTGGGGATCCATCTATTTTCCTACATATTAAGAGAGGAGGAATTGTGGATGGACCAAGTCATTCCCTTTTGGCATATTTTTCATCCGTTAATGATATTTTTTTCAAATGAAGGAGCCCTTTTCACTAGGCTTATGAGAGTAATTTCTAAGAAGGGTAATTGCCCATAAATTGGTGGTGTTGTTAGCTAATCTCCAGGCTAGACTTGCTAATAAGGTTAGGTTTTTAGAACTAGCTTTTCTTAACCCTAATCCTCCATCCTCTTTAGTTCTAGTAACCAGATCCCAATTAACTAGGTGAAGTTTCCTTTTATGATCAATTGTGCCCCAAAGAAAATTTCTTTGAATTTGGTCAATTTTCTTAAGAGTTTTAGGGGGAAGCAATGTGTATTGCATGTAGTATGCTGGTAGACTGGAGAGAGTTAATGTAATTAAAATACTTCTACCAGCCAGGTTTAGTTTATCACATTTTCACCCAGAAAACTTACCTCGCATAGTGTTGATGATGAACTGGTAATCTTTGTGATTGAGATTATTTTAATAATAGAGAAACCTAGGTATTT